CCTAAAATGAAGGAAAATGGTGACAAAAGGACTCATTCTGTTCCTTAATTTCTTTTTTTAAATTAGAGGTCTGACGCCTCTCTCCAGGGTGTGAGGTATTGGACTCCTCCCCGTGGCTCTGGGTGGGAAACTTGCCTCAGGGAGGAGCTGGGCAGCAGGATGGCTTTGTCCAGCTTCTCCTAGTGCACAATGACAGTGATCCTGAGCTGCTGTGCCTCTGCAGCCCCTTCAGTGGGCTGAACTCTGGGAGCTGCTGGGGCTGCTGGAGCCCAGGGTTTGGCATTCACCCAGGAGTCTTCCCCTGGTTGCAGTGCTGGTTTGCTTGGTGGGGTCTGGAAACACTCAGAAACGGTAAATTCTGGAAAATGAAGCTGAAGTGATGAGGCAGCAGTTCTTGGGCTGCAGAAAACCCAGGTGAGACGAGTCTCTCAAAAGCAATGCCCTCGTGTAGCTGGAGAAACAAAAGCCTTTGTCTGCTGAGGTACTAACCTACCCCAGATGCAGGTTTTTCTCTGCTAAACCAGATTTGGTCACATCTCAGGAATGACCCAGCATATGCTCAGTTAGGTATTAAACAAACCTGTTTTTTGGACCAAAACCAGTCATCTAGTGACCAAGGGCAGTGCATTAGTTAATAGCAGTAGGAAAGTAACTAGAGAACATGTCACTGATGATGGCATGAGATTCCCTTAAAGTGATCCTGAGATTAGGGATTAGAGGATTTAATGTTTTGCTTCTATAAAGGAGATGTCAGAATTGAATCAGTCGATGGGTGTTGGAGGCAGCTGTGCTTGGATGAACACAAGGGCCTCAAAGTACAAAACATTCCTTAATTGTTTGCAAATTCCCTCTGATCTTACTGGATGGGTTGGCTTGCTTGGGAGGGATCTTTGCTTACGTACCAGGCAAAGCTTCTTGGCATGTCACTATGCTGCTGATTCCTCTCTAAAGATGGTTTCAGCAAGGCTCTAGAAAAATACCAGCAAGAGGTCTCAGCTTCAGCATTAATGAGGCTGCTGATGGACACGTTGTTTGGACAGTGGTGCTGCTCTGCAGCATCAAGTTTATTAATAGCAGTTGCAGAAGCTGTTGCTGTGCTCTGTGCTAACTGATACACTCGAGAACTGCTGTAGGAGATCTGTGCCTGTGAAAGACTAATGCTTAGTATTCAACAGTGAATGAGAACTGGGGGGAAGATTAACAGCCTTTGATTTACACCCAGCTGAGGAAGGCATTGGAGCTTTGCCTGTTTATGCTGTTGGGCTTTGTTACATGAGATGAATATTTCATTACCTTGAAGTTGGGAGCTTGGTTTGGTGGTGTCAGTGCCTGAGGGGCTCTGTCACCTGTGATGAGCTGAGATCAAATCTGTGGTAGCAGCCCCTTGGGCTTCAAAAGAGGGCTGGGAGGAGCTAGATGGAGTCTGGCGAGGGTAGTTAAATCCACAGTCAGATCTGGAACAGTAAAGTGACCCTCCTCATGATTTAAAATTGGCTGCAGTGCTCCGGAAAACTGCCAGAGCAAAACCTTTAATTTCTGTTTTGCAAGTTCATTTAAAGAATCAAATAAGATTGTCTTTGCTAGAGGTATGTAAGATCAAGCCTGAAATCCCTGAAGCAGTGGGAGGTTAAAGTACATCTGGAGGGATAATCACCTTGCTTGCTGATGCAGAAATTAAACCTCTCATGGAGCTGGCATGCTGGAGTCCACCTGGGTGTTCTGGAAAGTCTCTTGCTTAATCTGGTGAAACATATTTCAAACACTGCAAGAAACTGTAGGCTCTGCAGACCAGAAGACCTAGAGCAAAAAACTTGTTTGGTTGTTTTTTTTCTTTTTCCAGAATCTTGCCTTGATGTGTGTTAAGCAGACTTTTAACTTTGGAGTAATGACATGAAGCAGTTAAAAACTTGTGTGCTAGCTGCAGGGAGTTGTTTGCATGGTGGCATTTCATCCTGCAGGAGCACCAACTTGCCAGCACTGCAGTAGCAATGGCTCTTCCATGCAGGAGGAAGCCATGCAAGCAGCCAGGAATTGCCCAGTTCATCCTGCCCTGGCAGACCCAGGAGCAGGCTTGCTCACCAGCCAGAACTTGCTTTTCAGGCTGTCCCAGAGTGTCCTGCCCATGGCACATCATCTCTCCTCTGTCTGCTCAATACAACTGAAGAGAGGTCGTGGGTGCAGTGCAACCCTGTCGTATTTTGAGCCCCTGAATAAGGACTTGTTGGCCTGACACTTGAACCTCCAGGAAGGATTCGATGATTTGGTGGCAGGGTGCCTGGCAGTGGGGCTGGAGGTGAGCAGGGAAACACTAATATCTGAGCCAGATTAGTACTCTCAGAAGCTGTGAGGTAAGTCTTTAAGCACCTGATGCTCTCAGCAGCACTAAACACCCTCCCATAAAACTTGGTTCATTTATCTACTGTGTCCCTGTGTATGTGCTGGAGTCCTCTGTCTGCCTTGGTTTTGTTTTGTCATAAATTGGAGAGAAAACAAAACAAAAAAGTCATTCTTCCCCTATGGTGACCAAGTCTTAAGGCTCTAGAAATGACCAGTGGTCATCCCATGGATGGCTTCTTCAGTTAAAAAGCCTGTGAGTGGATGGACTTTTCTGAAGAATAATGCTTGAGAAAAACCGAAACAAATCAAGTTTTTAAACTTGTACAGAAATGCTGTTGAGGAAATACCTGCAGTTACTCTTCAAGAGCTTTTCAGCTTGCACCTGGAGAAGTTTAATGCAGCCTAGAAGAGCCTATAAAAATCACTGAATTGTCATTCTTTTTCTTCTGAGCTCCAAAAACCTTCAGCATGCCCAAGAGCACATCCAAGCTGCCATGGCTGTGACACGCTGTGGCACTGGCCTTCCATGAGAAGAACCCTTGGAGAAAAGGTGTATCAGCAAAGAACAGGCTGGGTAATCCAAGGCAGGTGGGCTCTTCAGGCTGTTGGGTGAGGGAACAGGATGGTGGGCTGCTGTTGAGGTGGTTGCAGAAACACAAGAGTGGGCAGGTGCTGCTTGCCAGGCTGCCATCTCCTGGGGAGGGAATTGCTTGATGGCCCTTCTGTTGCTTTGTAGTTAGCAGGCAAAGGTGCTGGTGTCCCATCTGCCAGAGCTAGTGTGATGAGCCCTAAGTGACAGTCCTCTTAAATGCTGGGACTGATGTGGTTCAACTTGCTGCTTTCTCCATCTGGTGGCAGGAAGGCACTAGACCAGCAGGGATTATTTTTCCCAAGAGTTTTTTAACCAGCTGTGGCAGCAAGACAGTGAAACTAATTTTCCTATGATGAGTTTTCATCTTGTTTAGTAGTGTGTCTTTTGGGAAGGCTAACAAGGATCAGGGTGCCAATATGGGAGACAAGAAGAACTTGGGCTTTAATTACTGGCTCACAAAGCTGACACCCGCTAGAGGAGCATCTCCAGTTCAGGAATGGTTTGCAGCTCTACACTGGTGTCCTTGAGCATATGTGATGCCTGTGCTGGGAAGGTGAGGTTGTTCTTCCACCTGGTTGTTGCAGTGTCTTGGCTTGCCCTCTGTCATCTCACCAGCCATGGCAGGTTGCAAGGTGTAGTAACGTGCCTGGAAGCCCATAGGGAAGGCAGGCAGATGTTCCCTGTGCTTGCCTTATCTCCAGAGCTGCAGGAGAAGCTGGTGAGGCCAATCGAAGGCAGCCAGGTGTTCTGCAGCTGGAGGAGCTCAAGCTGTTAGACCAAATACTGGGACTGCAGTGCTGCAGATAAGGGGTGGTACATGAAAGGCTGCTACCAGATGCAGAATAGGAACAGCTCAGAGCTCTGCTGTGGTCATTGGCTTTCTCTCCTCTGTTCCCTTGTGACCTTTTACATGCAGGAATGACCCAAGTAGTTGAATCTTGCTTTTTCTCTTGCTGAATTACATCAGAGCCAGGCTGAAACTGGGATAGAGCTGCAAGCTCCAAGGCTGGATCAAACCCATCTGTGGTGTGGTGAAATTCACTCTGTCTTTAGCTGTTAAGCTAAAGAGGCCAATGAAATAAATGAGCTCTTGGTTTTCACAGCTCCCAGTTTGAAGACTTTGTCTTGGGTGGTTCAAAGTTGCCCTAAATAATGAAGGCAGCAGAGTGGGATGAAAGCTGCTGCTAACTGGGAGCATGCATAAATCCTCATCAGTGTCTGGAGTGCCTGAGTAGCCTCATATCCAGTTATGCTATGAGCAATAAACAGTCTGGCTTTGCAGACACTGGTCCTTGATGCACTTGGAGCAGTTTGAAAGGTAATGGCAGAACCATCCCATGTACCCTCAGCCGCTGTCCTGTGATGAGAGCTGCTGAAAAACAGGAACCAGGATAGGATTATTCAAACTGAAACAGGTCAAGGGAGACACTACTGGGGAACTAACTTCTGCCCACAGCCTTCTTGTGCTTTTCTGGTCTTCTCTGAGATTAGAGGAAGGGCTTAGCCTGCAGCCAAAAAAATCCCCCTGACCATGCTGAGATAAAACAGGAGCAGAGAGGACAGTGGATGGGGTCAGCAAGGAGAGACATAGTTATGGTGTGACTTCCACTTTGGAAGTGTGTTGTGGGGGAAAAGGCTAGAGTACAGGGGGAAGAAGACCCAAACCAGTGAAATCTGGTAAGATTTTAGATGTAGGTCTAGTTTAACACACGCCTACCTTCTGTTGAAGTAGGACAGTGCTTCAGAAAAGCCTGTCTCCAACTGCTGTGTTGGTGTCATAGGACAGCTCGCCCAAGGAGAAGCTGTTCTTGCCTAGGGTTTGTGACATCTAGTCAGGACTGTAATAAAGCCACTGGGAAATGGTGACAGTTTAATGTGCTTGAGGGCAGCCATTTCTTCAGAGCTAAATGTACAGTGAGATGGGGACAGAAAAACCAGGCAGTCTCTCTTGCATGTCACATCCAAAGTGGTGGCTCTCAGGCTGGTGCTTGAAGAGAGGTGAGAGGGTCCCACCTTGAGACAGCTGCTGGAGATGGGGGGAAGGTAGTCATGAACATTGCTGCAGGTAGTCATGAACATTGATCAGGTACTTGAGCTTGAAGTGTTTTTTATGCTGGTTACTCCCTTTGCTGGTGGCTTCAGACCAAGTAAGCATTTCAGTGGTGGGACTTCTGGCCAGAATGTTGTTTCAAAAGCACATTTGCCTTTTAAGAAACGAAACAGAAAAGGGGACCTTCAGGCCAGGCCTTGGTGTGACTAACAAGCTGCGTGTGAAGGAGAACAAGGCAACTGCAAGGGTTTCTGTTGAGAGATAACATACTTAATTACATGGTGCAGAGGCTGTAGATAGAACAGAGGAAACACAAGTGCTAAGGATGAGATGGCAGTTCTGTCTCCTGCTTCAAGAGGAGCTCTGGTGATGTTCAAAAGGCATTCTCAGTGGACAGTTTGAGGTTCTCATGGTTGTGTCTCTTTCCAGGAAAGCTTGGCTCCTTTGTAGATGCCTAATGTCTTCAGGAGCTTGGGATTTCTTCTAGGCAATCAGAAAAGCAAGTGTTCAGGCTTATAATGTGGACTAAACTGTCAAATGTTGATGGTATTCCCCAGGGAGGAATCTCTGGGTCTGCTCAGCTTGCTCTGCTGTATGCTTTAAGATAAGACATCAAAGCTAGGTAGGAGCCATAAATGGGTGGCCACTTAGTTATAAAACTAAGTGAAAATCCATGTGTTTGAGGATGAACCGGTAAAATGAATTTCCTGTGATGGATCTCCATTTGCAGCTGCTGAAGGGTCCTTGAAAGTGATTACTTCATGATGTCCTCAGAAATGATTGCTTCAGACCTACCAAGGTGGAGAATAAGAGTTCTGAAGTGAGCCCCATAAGGAAACTAACCTGCTGCTAGCTCAGAGAAAACTTCCCCTGTGGGTCTCAAAACCCCCTGCTAGTTAGGATGCTTCTGGAAAGAGGGTGCAGTAGACTCAACCCTTAGGCTTTTGGAGAGCATGGACCTTGATGTTAGGGACAGGTAAAGTTTTGCATGCTGCCTGGTTTCTCCATGTGAGGCTGAGCCTTCCCCTGGCTGCAATGGGATCCTTGGGCATGCCAGGAGCCTGCCAGGGTCTGGGCAGAGTGCTGAGTCACAGCTCCAGCTGTAGGAGAGAAATCGGGAGAACATTCTCTGAGGTCCTGCTGCCTCTGAAGAGCTTTGTTGCAAGTCAGAGAGCTTTGATTTTCTACAAACCTTCAGACTCTCAAACAGTAAAAACCTTAAACTTCCAGTAGATTTTGTCCAATGGGAGCTCTTGGGCTGTCCCTGTGGCTTCAGGGCACTGGAGTCTCAGTGGTGCAGATGCTGCACCCTCAAAGACTGCAGGAACTGGTGAGACTGGAACTTGGCAGCAGCCCCAAACCAGGTGGTGGAGTGTGCCTCTGTGCCAAGCCTGGTGTAGACCTGCACTCCCTGGTTAGTTGTCTTCTCTGCTTCTGCCCTTGGGCAGGGCTTCTGCCCAGCACAGGGCTGCCCAGTGTGCAAGGGCTCTGGCTCCTGCCACGTGTGTCCAGTGTGTGACAGGGCCCGGGGGCAGCTGCTGCAGGTAAGGCCATTGCTGCAGCTGGCAGGGAAGTGTGAGGCACTGCAGCTGAGGTCTCCTGCTGCTCTGCACCAGTGAAGAGCCAGTCTTGTGGCTGGGCTTGCAGGCTGGCCATGTTTAAGGGGAGGAAGCAGAAAGAAAGGTGAAAAAAGTGAAAAAGGGCTTTCTTTTTTTGCCCCTAGAACAAACTGGCATGTGTCAGGTTTCCAGCTGTGTGAGCTGGCTCTTGGTGCTGGGCTGTTGATGCCATGTGCAAAGCCTGACTCCATCTCAGCCCTGTGCATCTCCTGCCCTCCTCCCTGGTTATCTACAGGGGAATAAGGGTGAAATGGGGACGGACAGTTGCTCAGATTTGCCATGCAGTTTCTGCTTTTAACTGCTGTCATACCAGGGAAGTGAAACTCCAAAATGTCTGAGCTTCTCAGAGAGAAGATAGAATTCCAGCCAGAGGCTGATGGCTTTATGTTCCTGCCAAGCCCTCTTAATGCCACACCAACGTTTTTCTTTGGATATCTGAAGTCTCTGACTCCATGTAGCAGTGCTGGGCATGGTGTGAAGTGACCTAATGCTCACTGGGTTGGTCTGGATGTGAGGGTGCTACCCTTAAGGGAGGTGAGACCCCTCTGAGGTCTGGGTTAAGAAGAAGGAGGGTTCTGGTAATCTTAATCTGGATGTTGGAAACAAACATTTTCTGAAAGGGCTTGTAACGTGACCAATCTGCTCCAGGTCTGATGCAGGGTGTTGCCTTATTGATGTTACATCAGAGGCACTCAATGCAATGCTATAAATGAAATATATTGGAGCTTGTTTAGCCTCTGGCTTGATTGAACTTGTTGTGTGTTGGCATCCTGCAATGTGAGGAAGAGTCAGCATGTGGTTGGTTCAGGACAGGATTCCGGGGAAGGCACAAACCTGCATCCGCAGGGCAAATACTGCTGCAGTGGTTTCTGGGAGGTCTTCTGCTGGAGGTGTCCACCCACACAGTGCTGTGGGCTAGAGCAGCACGATGGTGGCTGCAGCCCTGTGCACTGTGTTGTGGCAGAAGACACCAGCAGATTAACCTGGGATATGTTTTTTTTCCCCCTTCCAGTGACTGATGAGGGCAGCTAAGCATACTCTTACTGCCCAATATCCAGTGTCCTGGGCACCTTGTGTTTTCTTCCTGCTGGAAATGCAAGTGCCAGATGATTTTCCTTTCTTCCTCTCTCAGCTCAGTTGCAAACTGACCTACATGCAGGACTGCAGCTTCTTCCCACCCCTAGAGCTGAGGGATGTAGGCCCTGTTTCTGGCTGTGCTGCACCTTCATTTCTCTGCACTGCTCTACCTTCCTGGGAGCCTGGAAACTGCAGGAAAGCAGTTACCTGGTTAACAAGCATCTCTTTCTGCTTTGATAAGTTCCCCACCAGCTCCCTGGAGGAATCTGCTTTCTCCACAGGTGTACCTTCTGTCAGTGAGTTTGTTGAAATGATTTTGACAGGCAACTTTCTTCCCTGATCCTTAATAGCTTTAAATTTCAAATGTTTATGGCAAAGCTAATCCTACGAAATTCCCTGTAGTTTTAATAAATCTGTCCTCCAGCCTCTTCTGGTGAGAGGAGGTAAGTCTACCATTTTCTTCAGTGATAAATATCTACAGACTTGGCTGCAAGGCAGCTTTGAAGTCACCTGCTTGGTCCACACATGAAACTGGTGTCTCTGCTCAGAGAGAGAGCAGGAGCTCACGTGGTTGTCAGGACAAAACACTGTTGGAGCCTGCGTGTCTCTTGTAGCGTGGCTGTTCATCTTGGATGCTCCATTTACAGCTAGATGATAAGAGATTCAGTCAGGCTGGACTTTCTGGATGTTTGTAGTCCCAATTCTCTTACTTAAAGCAGGGCAACTTAGATGGGACAGGACGCCCAGTAACCTGGTGAAGATTTGAATATCTTCAAGGTCAGACAACTCAAAAGCTCTAGGGCAGGGGGAGGCCTTCATTGTGTTCTAGTGTCTTTCAAAGATGTCTTTAATTTACTTTTAATTTCTGTTTGTGCAGGTCTCAGTCAGAGGGGAAGAATGAATAATCTCAAAGTTAAGTCTTGTAAAAATACAACTAGAGGCCTGAATTTAGGGCATGGGGCAGCTTGGGAGCAGTGTAAAAAGGACTTCCCAAGGGTATTTGAGCATGTTGCGGCGGAGCTGTGTGCAGGACAGCCCCTCTGCAGGAAGCAGCATTTCATACACAACCCGGGGTGAAACAGCCATCAGTAGCCTGGCTGGGAGAGGTGGGATATGGACTAGTCTCCTGGAACCTGGAGCTTACCTTGGGATGTGAAAGCTGGGAGCAGAGCTGCCTCAGCACCCTGCCCTCTGCACCTTGTCCTGTGTCGGTGGCAGCTGTGGGTGGTCACTGGAGACTCTGCCTTCTTCAACCTGACACCCTTCCCCTGGTCCCTCAGCCCTCTCTTCCCGCTGACACAAAGGCAGTTGTGTGGAGTTGGGCTGTTTGCTGGTACCCCTGCCAGGCTGTAGAGCATCTTGTGGAGCAGCACAGGTCCACACAACAGCAGTGCCACCCAACAGCGGAAATGGGAGGCCCTTCTTGCTGCCTCTGCCTCAAGTGAAGGAGTAGAGGGAGGCTGGAGCAGAGCACTGGAGCTTCTGGGGGCAGACATGAGCTGAACAACTGCAGGGAGAGCTGCAGGTCAGAGTGGAAGTTGCTGGAATGAATAAGTCAATATGGTATGAATGAGTGATGGTGAGTCATTCCAGGCCACTCAAATGAGGTCCTGGGGTGGACCATCCTACACCTTCCAGCATGAGCCCTTGGCCTCCTGATCACCACCATAAATGTTGTTATCTAAACCCAGAACAAACCTTGTCCTTGCAAACCCTTGTGAAAATGACTCAGTTATTTGCAGAAACCTTTCAGGTCCAAACCATGACCTAATCCTTTGAGCAGTGACTGCAGAGAGGTGGCTCACAGGTTCCTGCTTCCCTGGCCTGCTTCCCATGTGGCCGTGCCCAGGGTGTGTATGTGACAGGGTGATGTGTCTGGGGTGGGGCAGGGGACAACAGTGAATATCCAGGCTCAAAGTGCCACTTGTCAGCTGTGACCACCCCAAGCTGAGTGGCTGTACAGAGCCTCCTGGGCTGCTGCAGAGACCCACATGTGGGGCACAGCACGGAGACAAGGCAGGTGCCAGCCCTTCCCAAGCTGCCTGCTGCCCCTGAGGCAGTTGGTGGCCACCAACTGTCACTGTGGGAGCTGCCCAGGTGGCTTCAGTGGGGTTATGGGAGCTGGACTGGGATGATGGCAGTATGGACTGTGATGTTTCCCAGTACCTGAGGCAGCATTTGGCAGCCTGCTGGTGAGATGTCACCTTAATCCCTGTTGCCATGGCATGTGAGGCAGGTAGAAGGGTGCTGTGCACTGACGCTCTTACCGTCCATGGAGAAAATCCTGTGTGGGAAGAGCATTCTCCTGCCACGTGAGCTTTGAAGTCCTTATCTCCACAGATGCTTTAGGCAGCTGTAATTTTAACATCTAACGTGTTCTTCAGGCATCTCGGAAGTGTGCCCTGTGCTTATGGGAGATGGAAAAGATGAGCCCCCTGTAGCTCTGGTGTTGTTGATCCCTGCAGCTGGCTCGTAACCCTAGAGCACCTCTTGCTTTGACTGTTCCTCTTGTCTGCATCACAAGGTCTGACTCTCATCCTGCAGGTGAAAGGCATCTCTTTCCTAAGGAATGTTTCTCCTTCTGGAGAACGCTGACCTAGGAGATGGAGAATTCCACAAATAAAACCCCAAGCCACCCATTTTGCTGGGGGACAGGCCCATGGTGTGGTTTCCCAGCTGGCTCCCTCTGGAATGGGAGTGGATCCTGGATGACAGAGCAGGACTTTGTGAGCCAGCTGCCTTCTCCTGTGCTGTGTTAGAGGAGCAGGAGCACCTGGGTGTGTGGTGGGAAGGCCAAGTGACTGGGGCTTGACCCAAGTCTCTCTCTTCTCTCTCCCTCTCTCGTTGCAGGTGACAGAGCTGAACGAGCCTCTGTCTAACGAAGAGAGGAACCTGCTGTCTGTTGCCTACAAGAACGTGGTGGGGGCGCGGCGCTCCTCCTGGCGGGTGATCAGCAGCATTGAGCAGAAGACCTCTGCGGATGGGAACGAGAAGAAGATAGAGATGGTCCGTGCCTACCGCGAGAAGATCGAGAAGGAGCTGGAGGCCGTGTGCCAGGATGTGCTGAGCCTGCTGGACAACTACCTGATCAAGAACTGCAGCGAGACGCAGTACGAGAGCAAAGTCTTCTACCTGAAGATGAAAGGGGACTATTACCGCTACCTGGCCGAGGTGGCCACCGGTGAGAAGAGAGCGACCGTGGTGGAGTCTTCAGAGAAAGCCTATAGTGAAGCCCACGAGATCAGCAAGGAGCACATGCAGCCCACCCACCCCATCCGGCTGGGGCTGGCGCTTAACTACTCGGTTTTCTACTACGAGATCCAGAACGCCCCGGAGCAGGCCTGTCACCTGGCCAAGACCGCCTTCGACGACGCCATCGCCGAGCTGGACACCCTCAACGAGGACTCCTACAAGGACTCAACCCTCATCATGCAGCTCCTCCGTGACAACCTAACGCTCTGGACGAGCGATCAGCAAGACGACGACGGCGGAGAAGGCAACAACTAAGCCCCCCCTCGATGGACTGGCAGCCGCACGCTGATGCTAACTACTGCAGTCTTTATTTTTTGCCCACCAGTTGGGGGAGGGGGGGGTTGTCAGGGGTGGGGGAGGGGTCACCTTCCCAGGGGAGGAGGCCCCCCACAACCTGTCTTTGATTGCCTCGTTGACATTTTTGCCAAAACACCACTAGTGGAGAAAGTCAGGCTGGCTGTGCTGGTTATGGAATAGCAGCCTCACTGGCATATGGACTGTTCTGTAGATTATTCATACAAGTGGAGCTGTCTTTAATTTAACTTTATTGCTAGAAAGGAAACAAAAAAATAAAAGGGGTTGAAGATGATTATTTTATTTTATTTTTTGCCTGGATGGAATGGCCCTCGTTTTTCAGGAAAGGAACACAAAAAAAAATAGAAAAAGGAGGAAAGCTTAAACAAAACAAAACAAAAAAAAGGGAGTTCTGTGGTTCCAGTAAGGCCTCGTGGGTTTGTTTCTTCAGTCCAAGTGCCCTGTGTCCCCACCGCACCGCGGGGCTTCTCTGCAGTCCCCAGATTGAGAAGGAATTAAACAAAAAAACCCAACAATCTAAAGAATTTGGGGCTTGCAAAGCCTCAAGATTTAGGCCATCCAATCTCTTTAGTTTTTCTCTTCATTTTGGTTGAAGATATTTATGAGGGTAGCTTACAGTATTAACACTAAATTGCAGTTTACAGTATTTCTACGTTACAGCCATATGACATCAAGCCTTTGATTGTCTGTTGTTGGTTGGGTTGTTGTTTTTTTTTCTTTTTGCTGGTTTTTCTGGCTTGCCTTCCTGATCAGTCCTTGCCTGTGGACTGGCTTTAGCTATTCTGTGTCACCCAAGGCAAGAAGACCACCCACCAGCCCCAGGAACATCAAAAAGCTGCTCTAGTTTTTTGGTCAACTGCTTAACAGGTGCTTGGCAAGCGGCTGTTCCAACTATTTTAAGTCCACAGCAAAAGGTTTAAGAACTTAATTAGACAAAGGGGGAAATGTTTAAACTTAAAATGCCACTTAAATAAAAAAAAAAAAAAAAGAAGAAGAAGAATAAAAATTTTAAAAAGAGCATTCAGGTCTGTATGTCATGTACTGTGTTTGGTATTTCCAAAAGACCATCCTGATTTTAAGGTGCCACAGCTGCTTCCTCAGGGATTGCACTGCCATTTCACTCTGCCTGACTTTCTCCCACTGTACCATGAGGTTTGTCAGCAGATCCCTGGCACCCAGGCTCCCTTGTTTGTCACCAGGGAAGCCAGGTGCCTTTTCCTTTCTCCTGGGGAAGCTTGTGGTGTAATGAGTGAACTTCAGGAGCTTAGAAACTTAATTTGGTAGAGAAATCCTCAAGGGAAGAGCTACAATCATAGACATTTTGATCAACCATCGGGAGCCCAGGAACTTAGTTCTCTTCTTAGCAAAATCTTTTGAGTCTGGCTGATCTGGCTGGGGGTGGGAGACGGGGCATCTGAGTTACTTCCCAGGTGATACTTACCCCGTTCTGAGTGAATTTCTTTCTTTGGAGTGTTGAGTTCCACGTGGTGGTTTGGAAGTTCACTGCTGTTCTCTGGCTGGCAGGGTGTTGTGCCCGCCCACCCAGGGAAACCCCGCATTCC